TAGGATGTATGCAGCCTCCCCCCCCCCCCCTATGTTTAAAATACTGAGCGGCTATTTCCTGATGACCCATGATGAGCGTCAAAAGTTGTATTCACTAGTTGCTACTTCACTATAAAAGAATCACAAATAATTTAAAGAGTCATTTTACTTTATTCCATCATACCCCAAAGCAAAAAAATAGGGAATCTTTGGCTTCGTCGGAGATGATGAAAAACCACTAGTACAACGAGGCAAGACAAAATATTCCTATTTCAGCTTTTAGGACAAATTCTCAACTAATCCATATCATTGAATAAAGTTTATATACTATTTAAAATTAAACTTTAGATTTAGGGCATTGTTAAGGAGCTAAAATATCCAAGTTTAATGAAGGTTAATGTTTGGATGGATGTAAGTTAATGTAAATGAAAACGAGTAGAACTTTTTTATTTGGGTATGACGGAAAATATAGAGGAAAGCAAATGAGAGAAGATAGGAACAATGCCCTCATTTACCTCTCCTTTCTCAACACGTGTGCATCACATTTTAGAATCATTATACAATTACACAAGATCTTAAGGGCATGAATTGCACCCCAAACTAGGATGAAACACGGATTTATTAAGCATGTCTAACTATCTGAGTTGATTTTGATGACTTAAACAATAAGAATAAATACTGAGATCCTATAATGAGATGCTTTGTAGTTACAAGTATGAACCAATAAATAAAAACTAAAAGGCCGGTGAGAGTGTCAAAATGTAACTTACTCTGCATCTGGAATCAGGAGTTTGTGTTGGTTGAATAATCCTAAAGATAACTTATCCAGCGGAAAATCGGCATTTTTATCACCTACAAAGTTGAAATGAATACGGAGTTGGTTGAACACTTGAACATATTCAATGTTGAAGAATCGTACAAATAAAACAGCTAAGAAAAGTTTGAATCTATGGAGCAGAAATTAATATATATATATATATACACACACACACACATACACACATGACATATTTGCAATTACTCAATTAGTAAAAGTTCTAGTAAATTCGCTAAGATATAAAACCATAGAACTCCATGAATTTCAGATTAACGAAAAGTACTTACTCCCGGAATCCTTTTCCATTGGGTCTGGAGAAATAGGCACTGCAAAGCAAGTTCCTAGATCAATCTCTGGAATGTCAGAATTTCGCTGCGAGAAGAACCCATTACACAAGCAGAACACCCAGCAAATTGCTGGCAATAGTCTTGATCTTCCCTAAAATCTGGGTGCAACCAATTGGTCCATTCAGAACTAATGATATGATTGATTTTCTATAGAATCTACAAAAAAATTAGAAAAATTAGATACAGATTATTATTATTATTATTATTATTATTATTAATCTCGGTATAATAGAAAAATTTGTTGTAATGTCTCAATTTATTTAAAAAAATTCTATTTATCCTCAAAATAAATTTTATATATATACACTAGTATTTCACCCGTGCGTTGCACGGGAGTAATACACTTATTCTATGATTTGTGGTGAATATAAAGAATTTATAAATTGTTTTCAAAATTTAGAATTGAATAACATGTCAAAATATGATTTTCAATACAATCGATATATGATACCCTTCAATATAAAAAAATACTTCCTCTGTCTTATAATGATTTTCTCACATTGACTAAAACCTATTTTTAAATAATTGATTATTTTTAATTTTTTACTTTGACTTTCAATTTTGCCCCTCCTTCCCACAAGCTCAATTTCAAGTTACAGAGTAATTTAAACTATCCATCTTTTTCGACTTTGATTGGAACAGTGACAGCAACTCTACTGGTTGCTCGACAGCCGAAGGAGTGGCTTTTGGCACGGTGACGACCAAAAGTCACGATCTAAACAAAAGGCGGGCACTGCTTCATGTCTACTCGACAATGTGCTCGGCAGCGATGATCTTTTTTCTTGGCTCACCGGCGGCCAGTTTTACAGAGATCTATTGTCCTTCGCTCGGCGGCGGCCATTGTTACATTTAAATTTGACAAACAAAAATGTATTGAAAATATAAGTTCATACAATTGTAGCATACATTTTACCACTTGGTTTGTCAACTTGTATTTTAACAAATTTACCAAAACTACTTCAATAAAAATAAAAAAATTACCACAGGAGTATGTCCATAAAAAGGTTTGGATGTTTGGATAAGATTCAAAAATTTGCAGAAGAAGTTGTACCAAGGATAAAATAAAAGAGGTAACAATGGAAAAAGCTATACAAAACTACACTTCTATTTTTCATTCTTCTAATAGAAATAGTAGGCACACACTTTTTCTCACTTTGGTGATTTATAGTGCAAATTCTATAATTAATCCTGCTCGAAGAAAGTGCGAAGATGAACATCCTTATCCTACATTTTTACAGGGAAGTTGCCATCAATGTTCATTGACACCTTGAATCCCATGAAAGTGCTGATGGAATATAGTATCAGTTATACTGTATTTTGTCATTATCAAGTGATGCAATGAAATCCATGTTAGAATAGAAGCGTTTTTTTGTGTGTGCGCATAATAATGACAAAGAAGCTCATACAAAATAGAAATCTTTCATATGAAGTTAATAATGACTACTTAAAAATGGTGTCACTTAAGGACAAACAATTACTGCTCAAACTTGTGCAGAATCAGAGGTTTCCAGTTGAGTTTTAGCCTATACCAAAGACTGGCATAATTAATGCTGCTCTGAAAATGAGCCATATTCTTTGTAACATTTTGAACCATCTAGATAGCTCCTCTATGGACTATGTGTGTGAGTTTTCTTTTCTTTTTTCCAAAACGATCTATATTTTTTTTCTTGCAGACACTTTTTTGTAGGCGTCTATATTATATCTGACTTGAATTGGTACTATCCTCCAACAATTTATGTTCTAATGGTATTTCTTATTCGTGTTTGCAGAACCATCTAAATTATGTCCCAATCTTGCAACATTATCTTGTTCATATTTGCAGAACC